CAGACTGCTTCAAGTAATTTTTATTTTTGTGTAATATTTTTTCCCACTAGGGTCCAGTCCTCCTACGGTGAAGTTACTTTGTGGAGCTGATTGGCTGGAAGCACTTGCTGAACCCAATATTTGGGCAGATGAAGATGTAAGTAGTAGAAATCTACAGTATTTGATCAAAGATTGAGCTTCTGGAATTATATCTTTTACATTTTTTTTAGTGTACAGCCTTGCAAAGAAAGTGTAAATTTGGCTTGAACTTGAACTGAAATTTATTGAACTGAAGTGCAAATGATTTTTCATAATCTGAATAGAATTTGAAAATTGTAGCATTGTTACTGAAATAAACTTTTCAGACATAAGACTGTTCTTACAAAGTTTTCTTTGAATTATTTTAATGCCTTGCAAAGAAAATATAAATTTTGCTTGAAATGAAATTTAGTGAATTGAAGTGCAAATGATTTTTCGTAATAAGCTGAATAGAATTGAGAATTATAGCATTGTTGCTGAAATAAGCTTTCACATTGTCGAACTCAACCATTTAATCTGTTGATTCAGAGGCACTCTTAAGGTGTTCTCATTTTGCTGTTTTGTTTTCGCAAAGAAACATCCTAGAAAATGCTGTTTTGGGTGGCAATTGTTACACTTGGCATTCAAGTGAGATTGGGTAAATATTTCTTCTGCAGGGAATAGTGAGTGGGGTAATTATTGAGCCTTTTCTTGTGAATTGGAAGGATGACTCAGGGGTGATAGGTGGTGGATGGCCAAGCAACTTCAATGTTTTCTATTTTTTGTTATAAAACAATTGGTTCATACATCAGCTGTGCATTCATTGGGATATAAAGCACTTGGAAAGTTTAGAGAGCAATCAAGAAGGTAGAGTTGCTCTTGGCTACACCTGGAGCAACTGTTATGTATCTTTCTTGCTCTCCAAACTTCCTGCGTGCTTCATATCTCGATAAACACACACTGACATATGAACCAACTGTCATTTAAATGAATGTCTTGACATATGTTTTGCTTCTTGTGGTGAGTAGATTGAAGAAATTGTAGGGAAACATGGTCTTGTTGTCATATCGCGAGTGGGATTCAACCCGGAATCTTTCATCTATGAGTCAGATGTCCTGACAAAATACATTGTAAGTTTATATCAACTTTGTCAATTTCAGTGATATAAGTATATATGTTAGTCTAGAAGGTAATTTTTCGCTCATTATAGCATTCACCTGAGGAAAGATGTGCATGTTTCCTTTGGTTTTCAGGTATGTTTTGTGGTCATAGAACTTTTTACTATTGATTACAGTAATTGTTTAGAGTTAATGGTAGTGGATATGTTACTTGTGGTAGAAATCTGTTAAAGTGTCTTCTTATTTATGATTTCTTGTCTAGTACATATCCAAGAAGTTTGATATATTTTAATTTTCTTTTTGATTTCATGCTCAATAGAATAATATTCACATTGTCACCGATTGGATATCAAATGATGTTAGTTCAACAAAAGTAAGGTAAAATTAATTTATTGATTCTGTTAACTTAGGGAGGCACGGGAGGCAAGGAAGGCTTTCAAAGTCCTCTGATTTTGACTAGTAAAATGACATGACTTGTTCCAACTTCAACGCTGATTTGGAATCTGTAATACAATATCATAACAACATAAAGTCTTTTCAGCAGTGCATACAGGGCAACTTTTTTTTCTGGGTGCAACCCAGTTTGGTTTATTCTGATCCCCTTGGGAGAATGTTTACCCTCACAAACAACTCTTTTTTTATTCCAGGTAATTAAGGCAACAACTGAAAAAAAAAGTTGAAGTATATTTTTTTCATGTAGCCCTATTAACCTCAATCTTATGCAGATATGAAAATATCCATTTCCTACTTCTGCAACTGCAAATTCATGAGAAGAAATTATTTAATCCTCCACATCCTGATGTCAGTATGCATATTCTGCACACTGTTTCCTATTTATTTGCTAAGGAGCTGAAAAGGGGAATTTGTTTAAAAATCAACAACTTCTTCTGTTGGTGATCATTTCCTTTATTTTCCATGACCTTCATGTTTGATTCTGGAATGGCACTGTACAGAGAAATTAGATGTTTGTCACTCTTATGGGAATAATAACTTAAGGATTGATAAAAGCAATACATACTTATTATAATATAATAATTGTTTTTCCTCTCAGGAGAGCTTTAAGAAGAAGTGAAAGTGTCAAGTATTTGATTCCAGATCCTGTTATTGACTACATAAAGGAAAACAAGCTGTATTTTCCAACAAAGTAGCAAGAAGATTGAAGATAGGAGTTAGTAACATTACTTTCAACTCAACAACGATCAGTGAGTCAGAGCATAAAAAAAAGTGATACTTGTATTTTATTTAGGATAGGATGTACAGTGAAATGCATGTGGATATTTAAAATATTTTCAATGGAAGTACAAGAAAATTAGCTACAAGGAAGCCCAATGTAGTAGCACACATCAGCTCCAAGAAATGTCAGGTAATTTATTGTTAACAACTGGGTTGAAAACGTAAATTAGCCACCGTAAAGGGTAAAAAAGCTGACGTTTCGAGCGGAGTCGGAGCTCCGACGAAGGGCTAACACTCGAAACGTCAGCTTTTTTACCCTTTACGGTGGCTAATTTACGTTTTCAACCCAGTTGTTAACAATAAATTACCTGCTATACTCTCCCACCGACGCAGCACCACAGTTTCTTTAGAAACTTACCCCTTTATTCATTTGCCAAGAAATGTCAGTTGTATCCATGAAATCAGAGTCAGTCAGTGGAGTAGAGCAAATACGTATAACCTTAGGTTCCAGCATTTTTTCTGATGTAAAAACTGGGACAGAGATTGAATCATTTTTCATGAGGTGTGAGATAGGTGCACTTCTTTATTAAATAACATTTGTAAACAAAACTTTTTAGTTTATAGTTGGTTTCTCCAGGGTAAATAGAGAAAAGGGCTTAGTTTGTGCTCTTGGGGGGGGGGGGGGAAGGGCAGGGTGTCCCTCAGCCTAAGCCTATCACAGTTTTTGTTGCATGAAACACAACAAGGAGTATTCCATCCCCCTGAGTGTGATACTATTCCATGGTTGGTATTTTTCCCCTCCTTCCCTCATCAAGCTTACTTCACTGTTCCACAGTAGCCATTTAAACTCCTTGGTAAGGAGGGGCATACTGAGAGTGGCCCACAGAAGTATACAGCACAATGACCTAGGCAGGTCTTAAACCCAGATTTCTTTTCCCAAGAGTACAGCAGTCACACCACTATGTCTCAGTGCCTTTCAGAGTACCGAAATGTTACTGGTGCAAGATGGATCCTCAGTGCATGCATTTCATTTGTTTCCCAATTGACCAAGCAAGAATAAACATCAAGGATGGAAAAATTTGATGACCTCAAGGGAAAAATTTCACTTCAGTTTGAAAAACCGAAATCAATGACACTTAGATCAGATTCATATATTTTGAACATTTCCTGAAAAAGTTCTAACTTCCTTAATATTTAATTAATATAAACCACTGAAAATCTGTTTGGTATCCTTTATAAAGCCACTGCTTTCTTTGTTGAATTTGTTTTGTTCAAACTGGTTGAATCATGGTTTCCTAAGGTTTCAAGACAACTAGCTTGAAAAGACCTTTTATTTGTGAACATGTTCTCAACCCCAAACACAGCAAGGGACCTAAGATACCATGCTAAACTACATAATAAAAGCACATTCCACAACACCCCCAGATATCTAACAAAAGGGTTTAACATAAATGGAAACTTCCTGTGACATTGGGATTCATGATCAGAGAAGGGTTAAGTGTTAATTGCCTGCCATTTTATGATTCATCAGGCAGTCGCTTCTTAATTTAGCCTTCCAAAGTTGAAATTTCCCATGCCAATTAACCCATGGAGAGCACTGTATTTCAAGCCCTTGGGTTCCAATAACTTTCCTTACCATTTTCCCAACAAATATCCCACATCCACAAGCACATTAATTGATGTTTTAACAGGTTATTCTTAGCAGAAGCAGTGTCTTTTATTTCAAATGTAACAAAGAGGTCTTGTGCTATTTCCTCCATGTCCCAGATTAAGAATTAATTTCAAAGCTAAAAATAATGGGATGACCTGCACTTAGCTGGCAATAAAGTATAAAAGTACACTTTAGGTTTGCATTAGCTTGTTCCCATATACTGACAAGACTTGATTACAACTCATTGTAAATATGAGGTGGAAGTAATTAAGAGAAAGACTGTACATTTGATTGAAATTATCACCATTTTAAGTCAAGAGGTAGAATTCTTCCTCACCTGGGAAATAAAGTTTTAAATATTTCCTTTGCATTTACATAAAAAAACAATTTCCATTGAACATGTACAGAAACTTTCCATCAGTACACTATTAGCAATTCTTTTAAACAAAATTAAATTTTCTCTAGTATTTTTCACTAGTGTTACTCTACGAATAATGAATTAATTCACAATTATTTGCCAAAGAGGAAGTGAATATTATTAAAACATGTTCACTGAGCTTGAAGCATAATTGCTCAGGTCCTTTCAGACTCTGTTGTAAATTCTGTAAATAAAGAAACTGATGCTCACAATTTTGATTAATTGTATTTATGTTTCTCTGAAACATTGACAAAACATGAGGTAGCCATTTTGAAATTCAGCACCTATGCTATAATCACCTCGAACAAGGTGATAATAGTGAGATATGATGCAATCCTCCACCAAACACAGCCCATGCATTTCTATAATCACGAACACAATTATAGAATATATACAGTAATAAACTAAATTCTCTAGATATGCATCTCTATACATAAACTGTTAATAAATTACATTACAATAATAATAAATTATAAAAAGTATAATAATGAAGTTATTGATGTGGGTTTCTCTATACCCTTTCCTTCATCACTAGACCCAAAATGTGCTTTTAACTTTGATTGTAGTCAAACAAACCAACAAACCTCAACTAATCTTTGCTGGTTAAAATAAATAACTGAAAATAACATTTCAATGTAAAACATCACAGACCAAATTATTGTAAAAAAAAGCCCAAAAAACCAAACAAAATATTCAAACTCTTGCTTCAGAGTCATCTGTACATTGTGTACATGAAAGAGCTGTTTTCTGCAGAGCTTGACAGATACCCTGAAGAAGTGCTATAGCTATCAGAGAGAAGTCTGTCAGAGTTGACTTCATATGACCCACAATGAGTTGAAGCATTGTCTGTAGAAGGAATGTCCCAGTTGGAGGAAGTCAACAAAGTACAGTCTTCATTTGAGCATTCATATAAAGTTTTTTTGTCTTCATTTAAATTGGAAAGAGTTGTAGGGTGTATTAAGTCTTCAACAGAGGCATTCTCTCCATATTTTCCTTCTAGAAAGCCTTCAATTTCTTGTATTGGGAGCTGTGTTTGTAGGAATAGGTGAAGACCAGCAAATGATAGATAATTATTTACCTTGACGATTCTGAAAAACAAAACATTTCAAAGAGGTTAACCATTTACCAACAAAACTTTCACATCCTGCTCTAGTCAAATAGTTGAGTCAATTTCACATTCTTATGCAATTTGTGACAAGTCTTATAATATTACACAATTATGTCATAACTAGGTGTTAAGCACATGTTAATTGCATCATGATGTAGTGTGATGTTAATCCCATAGTGAGATGTGATGTAACTCTCTTGAAGTTTAATAACAGCAGTATCATTATTTTAACCCCTGTAAGTTGACTAACTATCTTAATCATGGTGTTAAAATAATGCCTCATTCTTGAAATTAAAAGCTTTTGTTCTGCTGTACAAATTTGAGTTAATTCCATGCCAGAGAGATATTGGTTTCACAATTGAACACACAAAAGAGAAAACATGCATGTATTCTACTCTAAATTTTGCATATTTTCAAGATGAAAAATAGTTAGGGCCATTAGGTACTAAGCAACCTCCAAAGTTTGCCATTTTATAAGATGATCTATCTTAAGTTTGTTTGCTCCCAACATGTCATGCATGTATTCTACCCAAAATTTTACATATTTTCGAGAAGATGACAAATAGTTTGGGCTATTAGGTACTAAGCAACCTCCAAAGTTTGCCATTTTAAAAGATGAACCCTCTCCAAATTGTCTTGCTTCCAACATGTTGCTTGGTAGCTCAATTTGTATTACACTCCAACTACTACCAAGGATACATGGGTTTGAATCTCATCAAAGCCTAATATTTTTCAGACTTCTTGTCTGTAATTGCTAAATTGCAGGACATCTGCCAGGATCATTGCTCAGATTGCCCATTTTCTTTCTTTTAGCTCTAGAATATCTTACTCAGACTTATTCATTCCTTTAAGACAAGTGAGAACATAGAATCACAGCATGATTTCCACGTACAAAACAATAAATACTCACTCGCTTAAGAAATGTTGAAATCCTTCCCGCCTAGAATCAATCACTCCTTTATCAAATCTGCTAAAATAACTCTTTGGAGGTAGGGTTGGAATACTTGTTTCCCTAATGAGAGAAGACTATATATTAGAGAAACAAGAGAAAAGCACTGAAAGAAACTGGTCAAGATCAGGGGGTAAATGAAAGAAAAACGCTTAGAAAAACGCAACGGCAACAGACAACATATATTTACAAAAATCATTTCTTGCTGGTTACAAAGATGGAGAAAAGAAAATTAATAAGAAGACTGAGCAAGATGGCACACCAAAGTAGTAAAAACTCGTATTCAATCATCACGAGATCTACAAAACGTACCCTCCTAATCCGCTGATATCTGTGCTGGAAAGCTTTGCTCTAAGCCAGCAAAAATCAGAATATCTTCTTCTAACACTAGAGCGTTTACTGAAGAAGGCCTTGTTGTTAGTCTAAAACAAGAACAAGAAGCAATAAGAATGTCAACAATGTCAGCCGCTTGTGCTAGAAATACGATACATCTGATAAGGCTAGAACGAAAGTAATAATATCGTCTGTTAACCAAATAAAACCCACCTCTATGTTAATCTCATAGTCAACAAACTTGCTGCGGGAGCAGTTATGAAGTTTTGGGTTGCTCACGAGAACCTTCACGGTCTGAAGAACAAACAAATCAACACCAAAATTTATCAGTTTACTCAGAGGACACTGCTTCAGTGACATTACAGGTCGCAACGTTAAATTCACTTCGAGTAAAAATCAATTAAAAAATATACGATAACAAAACATTTTCTAGATAAAAGGGAAGAGAAGATGTGGGTATCGAAACGACGATCGAAAAATTAACGGCTCGTTAGTGTAAACATATACGCGCCAAAAAGGGAACTTGCTCTTCGACCGTCATACTGTAAATACAAAATGAGATGTTTCCGAAACACAACTTACTTCACGGTCCTTTTTAGATATAGTCATTTTCTATCGTTACTATGGAGTGATGGACAAATCAAAGTGCATTCTATAATCTACGAAACATCCAAAAGCAAAGAGCGTTGTAGTAATAGCCGGCACAAACACGAAGGATCGCCTGACGCAAGAGTAATACATAAGATAAGCACATGACTTGTCATGTGATTCAACCTGCTGCGAACGAAGGTCATTTTTACGTCACGCCTCACACTTTCCTGTGATTGGTCGGTTGAAAGTTTTTTGTAATGCAATGAATAACGCAATCTTCACTCACGTTTTACCTGCACGTGACTTCAACTATGCGTGACGTGCAGGAATGTGTGAAGTGTTTGATTTTAAAATTTGAATACATGTAAAAGCCTGATTCGACAACGTCACGATGTTTTCCTTTGCTTTCGAAAATGATTTTTAAAGCGCAACTATTTCATGGAAGGTTTGCTCTGAGCGAAGATCAATTAACGACATGCAACAAGCTTTTCCAAGTTCTTTTGATTGGTCAAACCATCTTTCTAACGGCTTTTGTTGATTTCTCCTTTTTTTTTGTAACGCAACGTGTGCTACGGAGGGTGACTTTGCTTTTTCGTTTACCTACGCGTGAATACAACCCTTACATTCAACGATTAAAATTGATTATATAGGCCAGGTAGAACTTGCGATTTTTTCCTTCCGAAAATGTTCTGCCGTTTTATGGAAGCGTAATTTACTCTGCAACTCCCAGAAGTATTGACGACAAAAGCGACAAAATCTCATTACGATAGTTCCATCGATAAACCTGACGAAGCTCAAAGGTTGACATTTTTGTCATCTGTTTAACATGTTTTCAGAATTGGGTCCAAAAAAAACAATGACTATTTCTAAATCTTTCTAAGACAGCAGTTCATTATCATCAGCTCCTAGTTGCTCGTAAGCTGAAGTAGCACTTTCGACTGAATCCTATATTCAGTGAGTGGTTTAGTTTCTCATATCCTAATATTCTAAAGCGTGATAGCATAGCCATTGTTGAATAAATCTTTGGATTTAAATTGGGTGTTAACTTGTATCTTTTCCAACGTTAAGAAGCCTGTTATACCACTGAACTTGTTATACTTCGTGAAAAGGAAGCTTCCGGTTGAAGATTATAAAAAGGAAATCATATAATCTGTCTGCAAGATGGCCGTCAATTGCGCAATATATTTTTTGCATTTAAGGTAGTATGAAACTGCTAGGAAACAGTTAACAATCCCCTCAGTCACATTTTGGAACAGGAGATCCTGTATATTTAAATTTATCCATAAAAAAGAAAAGATAAAAAAATACGATCGGACAGGACACCAAATGAGTAGCAATGCAGAGTGGGGGCATGTAATCAAGCTCAGAAATTAAAAAGTTGGAGTTATGACTTGAAAAACTAGTTCGCTTAACATAAATGAACACTTCAGTTCACTGTCACAATACCCAATATACAAAACAGAATCACATCTTTCAAACCAACCTTCACAGATCTATATTTAGCTTTCGATGGTGTTCTCATCCTGCCATCAGACGATGCTATCCTACTAATTTTCTTTTCACAAGCACATTCTGTTGTTGTTTCCCTGACGCTAACAGGGCTGTGATTTAAAGGGAAAGATCTCCTCGAGTGTTCAGACGTTGTTAGCGTCACGTCTAGTCTGATGAGGGACATCAAGAGTATATTCAGCTGATTCTTATATGTAAATACACTGCACTGCTACAACCACTACTCTTTCCGTTTATCCAGAACAAGCTCGGGTCAGCAGAAATATATTTTTCAGTTTCGTTATCGCGATGATACGTTTTCCAAATTTATCACTTCCCCAAAGGTCGAATTTCACTAAAATTGATGACTTCACGGAAGTAACGCAAACCTCTGAACCGAAAGGAGTTCAATCCAAAGAGGGGGACTGGCCCGACATGCCAAAAGAGAAACACTAGCTCCTCGCTAGTGCGCCATACCGCAGATACAGGAAATAAAAAGTCAGTCCACTGCCGTTCCTTCCTTTTACCCCAATTGTTTCCTTTTTTTACCCTCATTGTGTCCTTCAGCAGCATTTATTTCACACGTGCACTCGACGATGATCTGAGAAAATAGGGAAACTAGTGCTTTGGCGCACGGGATCTCGGGATTGTTGAAGGCGCTTTAGGTACCCATCACAGACCTTAAAACGGTCTCGCTAAAACCGATCGTAACCTTTGATACGGAGCAGTTGGGCAAGGAAATTGTTTGAATTAAACAACATTTTCTGCAAATTTTGTGTTCATGACTAGTTTGTTCGTGCTTTTTAGAGCACAGTTTGGAATATCTAGGCCAAGAAGTCAGGCCAGAGCCATATCTCCAATCTAGAAATCTTCCAAAAATTTGCATCTCATATAACTTAATAAGCTTCTTACGATGTCAAAAACAGAACCGCATAACTTTGCCACAAACATGCAGGGAAAGTATTCACGGACACCAGTTGATCAGAATGATCTCTGAAACTGTTCAGAATAATTTTATTTCATAACTTTTTAGCTCACTGCCTAATGGGACCATCGATCGATTCCTGTTGGAGGCGACTGTTGAGTTGCCCAAAGTCTATGCTCGAATCTAAATACTGCATGGATGAATAAAAAAAAACCCATCGTTTTAAATGGAACCCAATGGTTGTTCAAACTGTCTGTAGCTTTTCGGTTGTGGTCAATAAGGCTGCTGAATGATCCAAGACAGAGAAGAAAAATCACGGCGACTGAAGAAGACAAATCGTCATCAAGTTAATTTCGTATCGGAGGTTCACGGAGAGTCCATCGCCGAGTGAGACGCCACGAGAACACGTGACCAGCCAGTTCGGTTCACGTTTATTCTCTTATTACTTTCCCCGTTTTCTCTTCTTCCGGTTCATGGCGTTGGTTTCCGCTTGCTGGTTGGACAACATGTGTTCAATTTGCTTGACTTTATGCAAACGTTCTGTGTCCCTAGAGGAATATGAATGAAGCAGCAGTGAATAAGGTGATCGGAATAACTATTTCGGACCAAAGAGAAGAGCTGCCTCCTTCGTTGCAACTTCTGACTAACCACAAGGTACAGAGTGAGTAAAAATGCATGCTTCAATTCGACTTACCTCTCTAACTGTTCTTTCAGCTTTTGTTTCGCTAGGAACTGGTTATCCTTTCTTATTTCTCTTATAGCGCCCTACAAATTGTAACAAGAGACAACATACACATATTGTTCTACCATAAGCTTAACGACGATATTGCTTCTGATAGTTAACCCTAAGGGTGACCAGCAAGTAATTTCTCCCTACAGTAATACATTCATTAAGATCACGAGAATGAAGAAAATGATCGGCAACCTAAGGAGCTTGAATAGTTTACCAAATTCTCCTTGTCAGTACCGATGGAAATACACAGAGAACAATATGGAGAATATGGATACTGATGTTAAGGAATAGAGGGCTGAGGCACTTGCTGTATATTTGAAGGAAAATTTAGGGCAACACTTTTCCCTAAGCCGGATAAAATCGCACTTTTGAAAAGACTCATTGGTGACCATTAAAAAAACATCCCGGAACACTCTCTTAGACAGCACACATCAACAAAGCAAAAGAGAGCTTAATGCTGTAATGAGCTGATCACAGCCATCGTAGTTTATCCGAGTTTCTGTATCGTGAACTGTTAATGTTCCACAGAATGGTAGCTGGTATCAAACGCAAATAATAACCCAACCACCAACCATTTCTGGTCACCAGAAGTGCCCAGTGCAAAGGAAAGGGTTGGAATTGAAACTTTACATTTTTTTAGAAATATGCTGACACAAAGAATGAATAAGAAGCTGCACCTTAAATTCTCTCTTGTATTTGTATCGTAGCTTCTGCTTTTCGTTCGTTGCTTTGTTCCCGGTACCTCTCCTTGATCGAACCTCGTAACTGTAAAGTAAACACAGTGAATAACGTTGATGACAAAAATGATTCTCTACAAAGAACCTGAAAACATATCGCTTGCTATGCGATCGACTACAAATGACGTCGCGATCGACAACATAAATAAGTGACGCCATATTGGGCGGGACAGGGGCGGGGCTTTACAAACTGCATACGAAAATGATTGCCCTCTTGCTTTTTCTCTCCTTTTTTTACATTTTAAATCAGCAGACGTCAACCCGAGACGATGCGGAAACGAAGAAGTGAAACATGATGAAACAAACAGTTACCACATATGAACTGTGGTTCAATCACGTACCAATGAGCTCTTGCAAAAAGGTTGAATAAGGCAACTTGGAAGGAACACAAAGATGGCAGCTCGGAGAGAAATACCCGGGGATAGAGTCGCGTTTTTTCTTTATACTCTCAAGACAAGAGAGAGACGGTTATAGCCGGGTTCATTGGCTGATAAATACCGTTCCCCCAACCAATGGACTTAATATGATTTAGTATTTCACTCAAACAACAACAGGAGCGAATAGACAGTCACTGAAAAAGATGTAAAAATGATTCACACTCACTGCTCCTCAAACTTTGGTTCGTATGTCTTGATAGGTTCCGGTTTACGCGCTTGTAACGTGAGATGGTTACGATTCAGGCTCTTGGTGAAGAGTTCATTTGTTCTCGTTTGAAGGTTGCGGTAAATTTCCTGAATAAAACATGGAAAGGCAAAAGAGCAAGAGTCAGTGTTCAGTTCCCGACCGAAATAAACAAATCCAACATTCTAAATCTGATTTAAAGAACAACACATTGCATCAACAGCAAGAGCAAATCTCCCTTGAAAATCGGACTTCTTTATTCTTTAACAGAGGCAGTGAACTATTGTACTCTCTTAACCTTTTGGGGTTGAGCCCCCTTTGGGGTTTAGCCCCCTTAGGGGTTTAGCCCCCTTAGGGGTTTAGCCCCCTTAGGGGTTTAGCCCCCTTAGGGGTTTAGCCCCCCTAGGGGTTTAGCCCCCCTAGGTGTTTAGCCCCCTTAGGGCTTTAGCCCCCTTAGGGCTAGCATCTAATTTCTCCTTACAATATCACCTCTGAATCACACATTAAGGGAAATGATCATCAACTAAAGAAGCTCTTCATTGTTTAACAAATTCTCCTTATCACCACCTTCGTAAATGTATAGAGAAGAGTGTGGAGAATAAACATACTGATGTTAGTGTTGTAAAGGGTTAGGCACAGTTAATCCAATCGCTACTTTTAAATTAAAAAGAAATAACTAAATTCATGTAAGGAATTAAACTGAGGAAGAAACAACGCTTGAGAGCATTGGAAAGTGGAGCAATCAGAGAACCTCACATTTAAGCAACATAAATCAATAAAATAGTGCAACAAGAAGCAAGAAGTTTTTTCGTCAAGTGTTGGTATTTGAGCTTAGACACTAAATTTTTTAGTAAAACTAATTCATTCAAAACACTTTTCTTGCACTATGTTACCTGAACAGAAGCAGGATAAAGATCTGAAGGTATTCTGAAACATCAAACAAATCTTGTTCAGTACTATGCCACACCCATTATGGTCAAAGTGTAATCAATTCAAAAAGTTTTTCTTAATCTTGTAGTTACCTGTGAACTTTGGTTCACTCATCCCTTACCTTTGTAAATGTTCTTTCACAGGAGCAAATATCTCAAAACTTGCGGGTAAGTCCTGGTACAAATCAACAAATTTTTGCAAAATGGACAAGCAATGGTTGACTGAGTTAACCCTGCAGAAAGAAAAACAAAAACACTTCATAATTGCTCAAAAAGCCCGACAGCAAACCGGGGATATTTCAAAGTAACCTCTGCCCCCTTCGCACGTTGATGAAGGACTGCTGGAACAACGATTCTAAAGTAGGAGTAAAGAACAAAAAAATGTGTGGGTGTCTCAAAACGGAGACAAAAAGGCCTGCAAAAAATTATTTCAGAAATTTAAGGGTGGGTATAAGTAATGTATCTCAAGTGATTCAGCTTTCATCTCGTAACTTTCGAACTCTGTATTAAAATTGGCAAAGAGGGGGTCGCTTATTGCTATAACATCATTTGAAAAAAATTGGACAATTTGATAACCAGTTAGTCGGGGATGAATGTATAGGCTAAAAGTGTTCCAAAAGCACTGACGTCGGGGGGAAATCACTCCTGTATGGACCTGCTTAATAGTGGTTGTCCACCTGAAAGGAGTTTTTCCCCCTGGAAAAAGGACGGGGAGTTAAGGCACACAAAAAAGGTCAAGGAAACTGTCTTTTACGAGTTTAGAAAGGATATAGCGATTGATCTAACAGGATTCTCATTTCTCATTGCTCAGATTTTAATACAAAACGCTATCTTTGCGTTGCGGCAAGCCTGCAAGAAATCAGTGTTAGCCAGTTGCCCAATATAATAGAAAAACTCATCAGGAAGAACAGCTGTGGATTGGCCGAATTTTAATTCTTGAAATGCTTTAAGCTCGTTCTTTACCTTGTTTCATCTGTCGTCTGTACATCTGCCGTGCTTTCTTCCAGAGTCGTCAGCGGTAAGGGCTTGACGGTCAAAGAACTGAAACCGGTGAAAAAGTTATCTCCAAACGTTATGGGCGTAAATCAGGACAGGAGGGTGTATGATAAAACCTTTGAATTAAATGTGTTCACTGCTACTGGAAGAGTCTTTCAAGGATCCGTTGAATTCTCAGGAAAGGGAAATAGTTTAAAACTACCGTGAACGTTTACTCCGGGCCTTTGGTCGTTTGTTTGTTTGTATAAGCCTGTGTCTTTTTCCAGGTTTTACCAGCAACCTGATGCTTTCTGTTCAAAGTAAAATAACAGTACTCACAAATGGCACTGGGTTCTCGAGCAGATTACGAGCTTTATTACTCACCTTGAATCTGACTGAAGTTTGAGAAGGTCGCGCCATTTGCTGCTGTGTTTAAACGGGAGAACAAGCTGAGCTGTGAAAATCGACACATCATTTAAGCGCAACTGAATGCTCTATGAAGAAGGAGGAGAAAGAAATAGGAGGAAAAAAGGAGGAATAAAGAGTAAAGGAGTAAGAATTCAAGGTGGAGAACGGAGATTAAGGTAAGAGATGACGGGAGAAGAAGCAACACTCAGTAAAAAGATAAACAGCAGAATACTGCAAAACAGCATTACCATGACACTGACTCGTCCCCATTCTTCTTAATGGCATTGACTACGCAGGAGCGCAAGATGTGACGAGCCACTTTCCCAACCACCACACCCCCGTACTCCGCGCGTTATGAAGACGCCTAAGGACGTGTGAAGGGGCAACAAAACCTAACTACCACATTTTCCACGGGAATGTTTTAATACTGAAATACATAATGAGTAAGTGGACACTTACGGGTATGGACTTCTTTCTTCGAAGCCATAAAGAGAATTCCACAGAGGAAGTTGACAACCTCAGGTACGAATCGTTTGGAGAGAGATACGAACTGCAAAATACATTAACACCAAGACTGTATGAACTGTAACAAAGGCTTTCTATCGTTTATGTGCGGTTACTACTCCGATATGGTTTCGTGTTCGGGCGAGTTAGGGACGACTTCTTACCATTTGCAAATCAGAGTCCCCATAAAAACTCGTTTGCACAAGTTAAAAAATTAGCTCTTTAATCCGTAAGAGTGATTGGGATTTTATTTCTCCTTACAGTATCACTGTAGAATCAAATATTATGCCCATGAAAATAAGGCAAATGATCACCCACCAGAGAAGCTTATAATTGTTAAACAGATTCTCCACGTCACTATCATAGGAAATGTATAGAGAACAGTAAGGAGAATATGCATACTGACGGTGGGGTATAAAGACTTTAATAATCAAACTACAATCAGCAAACGAACCTCGTAAAACAAATCGCAGACAAAAAGACCCCTAAGTACATCTCTTATGCACCGTACAGGACTCTGCAAACAAAAACATCAGTTATTCAATGAAGTTGGACTCAGGGTTTGGAGCGGCAAAGTCATGAAATGGTTCAGTCGAAAAACAGCTTCAGAGTAAGCACTTCAAATATAAACGAACCATCTTCGTTCACATTAGTATACGGGGGAGACTATGGTTCACAGCCTATAAGAGAAGAGTATTTTGTACCACGTGGTATAATTAAAACAATCATATAGCCGAAATTACCTCCAAGATGGCGACGTGATGTAGCGCAATACTCTTCTTTGATTGGAGAATTTAGTATTATCAACTGAGTTGATAACGTATGATGGCAACCAAAAGTTTCGAAGCAGACGTTTCGAGCGGTAGCTCTTCGTCAGAGCGAATGGGCCAACGCTCTGACAGGGGGATAACGCTCAAAACGTCAGCTTCGAAACTCTTCACGGTGGCCAATTTACGTTCTCAATTCATTTAATAAAAATAAATTGACCTGTTATACACTCCCACCGACGCAGCACCACAGTTTCTTTAGAAACAAACCGCCTTTCCTCTCTGACTGGTTGTGTACCATAATGCCCCGTATACAACTGTTTATATCACGGCATATATTTCGGATAAATAACATCAGCCTGTAACTCCTACCTGGCCAAGAACCTGGGAGAGAAGAACCATAGCTGGTGTACAAACAGCGTGTCTGAAGTCTGACGTCGAAAACAACATCGATACGATGCGAAGATAAAGCAACTGAAACAAAATAAGATAATTTTCAATAATTTTTTCAGTAACTCACCAACATGAAAGTGAACAAAGCTAAGCAGAGGCACGATAACTTTTCTTAGATCAGATGGGCTGAGAATTGAAACAAACACGAATAGGAGTAATCTTATATGAAAAGTGAGGCGGTTTAGGGATACGGGATACGAGGATATACGAGGATATAGAGGATTTAGAGGGATACGGTTTTTAGGGACCTCCTTTGCTCCATCAGTGCAGGTCACAAGTTTTGTACCAAGTATTAAATGGTCTCGGGTACAACCCTCTCCCTCGATACCGCTTAACGGAGCGTTTATATGGAGTTGGATTTGTAACAGCTGTTCCCTCACCAACCTCCCTCGTAACAGCTACGAAGGGTGCATATTGGACAAAATGGCGAACGGAAGGAAACATTTTCAGCCGTCTCGTCTCGTGTAGGCAAGCTGAAGTGTTTATATAAAGAAAAAGGTTGTCCCGCCTGAAAAACTGCTCCCCGAGACGAGTTCACCATTTTCATGTAAACAGTTGGTTGAATAGCTTAAAGAAAAGTTAGCTCGCCAGGGTAACTCGGGTGGGGGGAGAGGGTGGGGGAGGAGGGGAGGAGGATGAATGTTCCGGTACCTGGGAATAGGACCAACTGGTAACTGTGGTTATCATCAAAAAGTTAGGATGGCCTTTCAGAGCGTTTAACATTTGTGTATTGAGCTTGCGTCTATGGGCAGCCTTACAGACTATTCCCACATTGATAACAAGAGCTCCATGATTTCTTTAGCACAGAAATAACGAGATGAGTTAGGTGAGAAATAAAACACCTCCTGCCTCCTGTGCGTGGTGCTGACGCGGTTCTTCTTCGAAAAAGGAATTGCAACATCGATTTTAACTAAGGTGAATTAGTTAGTGAACCGCTGAAAACTCAAACCAAATCGCGTAATCAGCACTAGGTGCGCGTAACACTCACGTAGCTAAGTCACTAATTTTTCTGACTTTGAATCCAATTTCCTGAGCGAAGAGCGCGAGTTTTGATGCTAATTATGGCTCATAATATGCGGCGAAAGAAGCTGTTCAGAGTCATTTTCCTCACTTGGCCGCAAAGAACTGTGTGGCCAATCTGAGTCTTGTTTACAGACAGACGTACCTCAGTAAGACCCAGGAACATTCCTTTTCCACCTGAAGATGATAAAAATAAGAAAGTAAAGTTAGAAGAGAAGGAATAACCTGCGAGCAGGCCCTCATTATCAGCACTTCAGCACGAGCGTTTCTTCACCCGCGGGAAAACATGTGGCCATGAGAAACGCGAGCCTGCGAAAGGTCTGCCAGCGATCTAACACTGATAACGCTAGACCCCAGCTAACCTCTCGCCGACTAGCCTCAAATCTGTCCGCAGGCCTGCTCGCAGGCTAGGAAGGAAAGGTGAGGAATTTTAAAGAAGAGACAAGGGGATGAATCACGCATAAGCACTCTTACCTTGTCTTTCGCAATTCTGGGTGAATTTCTTGTGTATATCCTCTACAATCTGTTGCATGCACCTGGCGGAGTGTACCGGAGAGTACTGGGATACATCAAAGAGATGTCTGCAATACGAGAGTAAACGCATCATCACAAAACGATGGGATAAACATGGTTGAGGTGCTTTCATCTTGTCCCAAATTCAGTAACATTTCAATAAAAGCCGGTTACCAGCGGCCTACCGCTACGTATATAAAACCTCTCATTGCTGTCTGTTAAGCCAGCTCGCAGGCTGTCGTGTTTGGGAAAGGCAAAGTTATTGAAACTCCTGTTTACGTCGGAAATGCAAAGACCAATTTTTTCCCCAACGTTATTCAAATTTTTTTTCTCCAGTACAATAGGAACGCTAAAAATGTCCTTTCCATTGAGATTTCCGTGCGTCTCATTTAAAATCAAATACAATCCTTTTTCACTGGCGCTAGACTAAAAGGCAAAAAGTGGATGCGTAAAATTCAGCTACAAGAAAATACGCCTACCTTGACAGCTCATCAATCATCTTGATTCCTTCAGGACCCATCTGGGAGAGTTCACCGACATAATCCAACAAAATGGTGAACAAAACCTGTAAAAAGTTATTAATTGTTGCAATGACAAAATGATGACTACAGAAATTCTTCTAACTTCTTGGGTACTCCAAAATGCTTATCATGACACTAAACCCAGTCAACAGTGATCAGATTTGGTCAATGATGGCAAATGTAGATAAGACGGTAAGGGTACACTGTATATGGAGTTATAGAAAGACATTGAGAGCTGAGAACAAGAACATTTTTGCCAACCATAAAAACATTTGGGATGCTCATTCCCAAGTATCCGGTCACGGATACTTGGGAATGACGGGTTCTAAACTACATGAGCAGCACTTTGCAGTATAAGATGCCTTGAAACAACAGGCAGCTCTCTGTGCTACTTCTAAAACAACTCGTTATGACAAACCTTGGTAGACAATCACTTTGCTTATGGCAAAGTTATGTTACTGCTATCAGTTGTACAAATTCAAACCAGATTGGTGTGACTGGTCACACAGACAAAGTTATTCACAAAAAGTAAAAAAAAAAAACTCTCACAGTCACAAATGAGGACTTGCTGCTGTAATTTATCTCCACAACATGCAGCCTACTGAGTCTCAGCCTTAAAACAGCAACACTAAAAAAGCTATCTTTTAATCTTTACCTCCATCTTTGGTTTATTTGCAGGGGTAATCTTGGGATTATGGCATGCCTTGATTCTGTCAATGATTGTTAACTGTTGCTTATATGACCTTTGAGATACAAGTAAAAGACACAGATTTGCCAAGTTAAACAGAAACTTCATCCTTAAAACGCCTTGAAGTTCACTATATACATTTTAATTGTTGTACTGCTGTAAATTCTTATCAATTTAAATTATGATACTGTTACTCATGGTACATTTTTTTTCATCTGTATCAAAAACACTTTTGCTTACCAGCCCTTGATAAGTTCCTTAAATTCTTGAAGAGATTTTGGTGCTGGAAATTAAAAGCAAAATGCAGTCAGTAAATCAATGGGGATCCAGATGCCAGAATTAGCAAACTTCATTTTCCAATGCCATCAAGAAGCCTTTTTTCATGGATAAGTAGATAAATGGATAAGTAAGTAAAATGTGGGAGGTTCAAATTTACCTTTAAAAGTAAAAGGTAGTTCTTCTTTTGTTGGCTCAACAACCTCTGCCTCAGTCTTTTCTATTTGCTTAAAAAAATCAAACATGGTCTGATTAAGAGAAGGAAAGAATTTAGTTTGCATTGGAAGAAAATGTCTAAGAAATACTGAGACAAAACATTGCATATGGTACAAGTATAAGTAACCTCACTGATAAGCTGCTGGTGGTTTAACAGATTCAGACTTGTGTAAGAATAATTGGCGGAAGATAAATTTAAAGATTAGTCCAGAAAATATATAAAATTAAAATCAAAATCAATTACCACATTGTTTTTTTGTTGCTGTTGATTTCCTGGTATTTCAATTTCAGAGTCAGCCTCATCTTCCACACCATCATTGCTAACTGTAGATCCAATAGACAAAAAAAAATTAATGTAAAATATTGCAAGAAATAGTTTTGCTCACTGATGTAGCTTTTGTTCTCTTCAGCCCCTTTATGTTCTTTATATGTTATTCTCCCATTTTACAGGACGACAAACATATCCCTAGCCCCACTCACTCTGACGAAGGGCTAACACTCAAAACATCAGCTTTGTAACTCTTCATGGAGGCCAATTTATGTAACTTATCAACTCAGTTGATAATTAATTACCAATTTACCCTGTTATACTCTCCCACACAGCACCACATTACAACCCCAACCCTAATTATTCATCATTCAATGTAATTAAAAGGAAAAAAATGTATTTTTCCAAACATTAACATGAATCCAATTTTACATAAATTTTACGCAAACATAACTTTATTGCTTATTTACCATCTGATTCAAGGTCAGAACCATTGTCATCTTCACAGCTTTCACTATCTTGATCCTCCTCCTCATCATCATTATCATCATTATCATCGCCAGCAGCAGAATTGTCCCCTTCCTCTTCTTCCTCTTCCTTCCCATCTACCTCAGATTCTTCATCACTGTTTTCAGCTTCTCTTCTTATCTGATCCTCATCTTCTTCATCTTAGAGATTGAAAATGCAACAAATGGGTCGGTATATGGATACGAGTCATTGAATGCTATCTAAACTTGGCTTGGTGCATGAAGAATGAAGTGCAGAACAACTCAAAATCTACAGAAGGCTTCTACCTTTTCCACACATTCAATTCACCCCCCTCCCCTATCTTTCCTTTTGACCATCCCTCATCCCCTTAGTACAAATATTATTTATTTCTAGTCATAATTTTCACCAAGAAAAGTACTGAGCACTTGCTCATCAAAATTACACCTGCACTGCAGACTACATAATTAGCTGCATAAGGAAATCTTCCTCCTTTTTCTGCTTGTTACCAAGAGCTTTTTGCTCTGCAGTAACTAGCCTGTTGTGTTTACTGTCTGAACTTCTGGAACATGTTAAAAAGATGTTGAGAGACTTCCTTTTAGATTCAATGTTTGTGTCTGTGCATGAAGTGCTAAAAAGTGCAACATTAGGTTGTTATAAATTAAAATAGTTAAGTCAACTTGTTTGTCAATTCACATCTGAGTCCCAACTAAAGCCAAATGCAGCACAAATAATAATAATAATAATAATAATAATAATAATAATATTAATAATAGTAATATCAATGTAGCCCTATTCAGCTAATCTTCCATAGTGCTTTACAATCATTATGCTAAGGCAAGTCACCTCTCCCCTGCCTATGTAATTCAATGAAAATTGAAAACTTCATCTTTTCACCCTTATGCTAACCACTGAATTTCTGAGTTGCATGATGACTGGACAACAAAAATAAAGCTGAGAGAAACATAACCACTAGTATTGTTGCTGACAAAAAATTAACTTGACTGTCTAACTGACTGTCTAATTAGAGTACCTACCTTCCATATCATGCACTGATCCATCTTGGTAACTAAGCATGAATCTTTCATCTACAGCAGGTGTGAAACTGGCAAGCAAATTACAACAAAATTTGATATCAGAGTTACCTTTGCATCTGATTGTGTTACCCTGGAAATAAAGGTGTGTATGTTTCCTGTATATGACTTTGATAAGTGTATATTGAATAAAATCTCAGTAATAATCTGAAAACAACACCTAAACATTCATAATTGCTCACCTGTCACCAAGGTCATCAGCTGATATATGCTTTGGTTTCTCAGCCACAGCAGGTAAACCTCTCATTCTACGTTGACGCTCAAGCTAAATCATGATTAGTAAATAGAGAGAAAACACTAAGATATCATTATTTATTCTCCTTACTACCTGCCATATTATTCTCACTGTGTTTGTTCTGAGAATTTGGTAGTGGATCAACTAATCATGCCCTCATTCATATTTTTCTTTTTCCTCATCCCTTGTGTGCTTGATATTGTATTGATATTATGAGGAGAATTCTGTCTCAGTCACTCATTGAGTTAAAGGGTTAAATAACCTTTTTGAAAAAAAAACTACCATTGATCACTCCTACTACATTTTACTTGCAATGTTCTCTTCCTAGGAAAAAACATGTTCCTTCCACCCCCTAACAAATTGTCTCCAAAGGAGAATCTCCAAACATTATTATAACTCCTAAACTACTGTTCAAAGTAAAAAGAAAAACGTCATAATATCATCCTTGACTGATATCATTTCACAGGATAAATGGCTCTATTTACCTCTAATTTTTCCAATCGTTCCTGTTCTTCTTTGGCAATCTCATGTTCTGACTTCAGTCTGTCAGTGGCCTTAAAAACACAAAGTATAAGTAATATTCAGATAAATCATTTTCTGAGACTGACTTAACCCTATGATAATGCAACCTCCTTTTCAGGTGTTTTAACCCTTTAACCACTAAAAGTAACAAGCATCTAATTGATCCAACAGCATCACCTATCAACATAAACATTAATGTCACAAGAATGAAGGAAATGATTGTCTTCTTAAGAAGCTCTGGATTGTTTGACAAATTCTCTTTGCAAGTGCCACAGGGAATGTATAGAGAACAACACTAAAGAAAATGCATACTGATGTAAGCTTGTAAAGGGTTAAAGGACATGTTCTTTTGCACTTACTTTCCCTTTAATTTCAAAAGCCAACTGTTTGACAGCAATGTCGTAATCATCTACTTTGGAAACAACCTCTTCAGTGTGTGGCCTCTGCAATATTAATTAAACACAGTCAATTGAAAAGTCTTTTGTGAAAGCCTCTTTGTGCTGAAAGACACATCAGTCACCTTCTTGAACACTTTATGCCTCTTTTGACATAGGAGAATTCTTCTTAAAAGCATGGCTGAGATGACACAAAAATGGGATTTGAAAAGCAAGTCGACTGAGATTCTCCCATTAAGCCTGATGTTAAAGTCCCATTCTAACATACTGAAAGTAATACTATTGACCACTGTATCAATAACCCTTTTAAACCTAAGAGTGGCTAGCATCTAATTTCTCCTTACAATATCACCCCTGAATCACACATTAAGGTCATGAGAATGAAGGAAATGATGCCCAGCAAAAGAAGCTTTTGACCAATAAACACATTCTCCTGGTCAGCACCTTAGGAAATATATAAAGAACAGTATGGAGAATGTGCATAATGACATTAGAGTGCAAAGGGTTAAATAAAGGCAACAAGATTTCCAACTTAGGTTCACCTTTAGTGAAATTAGATTCTTGACGTTCCTCCAATCCTGATCCAGCTTGTCTGTTAAGGTGATTGTCTCTTCTTTGGCCATTTGCCGCTCATGCTGACAAAAAACACCCAAGTGAAATTTTTATAATGGAAATGCAATATCAAAAAATTGTTAGAAAGTTTTATTAGAATTGCTGCATTTAACTTGAATGTTTGTAATTCAAACTATGTTCTAAATAAGAATATAACCAATGTTAAATATTTGGATTCCAGGGTACTGATCCTGTTTATGTCAAAGACATTTTTTTCAACTAAAAACAAAAATAATTTGTAAGTTTTATCTTAACATGATTACCTTTTTGATCTTTGCTTTGGCAACCACTTCCTCCATGATCTCTTTCTTGCTCTTGTGTTTTCCTGAAGTCTAAATCATATTCACTTGGTTTGTACAAACTTAAGTTTATGTATGGAAACAAAACAGTCCTGTACATTATTTAACAAACAAATGAAGGTTAATCTCATTGAGCTCAATCCATGCACTGTTAACTCCTCCTGAGTAACACATGATTTAACCTTTCAACTCCCAAAAAAAATTATCATGCAATTTCCCCGTGTAATTTCTAAACATCATTTCCTAAACTGGAGATAACAATCGACATACCTGCTATTGTAGAAGGTATTTTCTAAATGATACAATAACAAATTCTTGTATATTCTCCAAAGGGAAATGTGTAACAGGTAGTGGGGATAATTACTAATGATATCAAGAGGGTAGAGATGTTGAAAAAATATGACAGTAAGAATACTATTACCTGCTCATCATCTGCTCTTTTCTTTGTGAGAAAACCACCAAAATGCAACTCTCTAACATGATCAGCTGCAAAGACATTGTGGGGTTAACAGACACCTCTTTGTAACAACTCAAATTACATTATACATGTAGGTATTAACTACCCCTTGTGCATCATGCCAATGGTTTTTTATGATAATGCCATCGTTTGAAGACAATTAACCCTTTACACCCTAATATCAATATGCAAATTTTCCATATTGCTCTCTTTACATTTTCTAAGGTGCCGGAAAGAAGAATTTGTTCAACAATCAAGAATGTCTTTAGTTGGTGATCATGTTCTTTATTCTCATGACCATTGTGTTTGATTCAGGGATGATACTGTAAGGAGAAATTAGATGCTAGGCACTCTTAGGGCTCTAAAGTTAATTGGAGAAGATCAACTGGTAAAGGAAGTGGGTGGATCATCACACTACGTGTTTCCAAAAGTATTCAAAAAGAGGATGAAAAGCCATGAAGCTAGAGTGAGGTTTATGTAGATGTGCAATTGCATCTCACTTACCTAGATCAACCTGGTCAATACCAATACATACAACAAAATCAGTCACTAATTGGAAGTCAAAACAACCACTGATTCAATCCACAGTTTTTACCTTCTGCAGACTTGTCCATATCATCATCATCATCATCACTCAGCTGCACATCTTCAAACTTGTCAATATCACCAAGTGATTGTCCTAAGTGAGTCAGCTCTTCGTCCTCCAATCTGTACTTTCCATGCCGATCATGGTGATGCTATGTAATAATATTACATCTATCACATTTTATGTTTTTCAATTATTTTCATGAAAGTCAGACAAATGTGCTTCTTAGGAAAGTATGTGTAATAAATTCAATGAACATTGTAGTTTTATATTTGTTGTACATGTATATTGCAGTCATCTGCTGGAATGTAGCACATAAGTGATAGTATTGTGTAAGTACAGCAGTATTGTTATATATAAAGCACTACTACAGATGAGCTATCATGATTGTAATAAAATGTATTTCTAACATTGATTGTAATTTTACACAACATCCAACTAATATTTATAACAATAAAGAAAACTTCAATAAGAGACAGAACTTTTTAAGATAGGTGAGTCATGTCAGTATGATTATCCATGTATCTAAATTTATCAAATTGCAATGCAGGTTTACAAATGTAATTTTCTCCTGTAAGCTTTTATCAGTCCCAGTAAATAAAACATCATCTCTATCAATCAATCAACAACATCTACAGAAGATTTTCCACCCTTCACAATCTGCAGTATTCCCAGGAAAAGTTAGATCAACCACACCTTTTTTTCCATTGTAAATCTTTTCAACATCTTCTCTTCCAGTGACATTTTTTCATCATATTCACCAAACCGGCGATCAATAAACATGTTTGCCTAGGAATAAATATAGACAATAACCTTGTCATGAACATCATCTGGAAGAAAAAGTGTACTTTCTATATCAAACATCAAGTTAGATTATGAATTGACAGCAAATGATATGTAGAAGAATGTATCCTTAACATAACTTTATCCCCTCATAATTAGCTTTACCCATGTTACTATCCAATATAACATATTTATTTGAATAAGCACCCACCTTGCAGGTAATAAAAGAAGCACAAGAGGAGTATTGACTATTATTTCTTTCCTGTTTTATGATCTCTCATTGTCTGACAGTCTATAAGAAAGCTGGAATTCTCCTAAAAGATTCAATCACAATTTCCATGTGGGTGCAAAAACTGGTGAACGTTTAACAAACATCCAGCTTTGAATATGCACCCACTCTCAAGCTCCAAAAATTTAATAATGCCCAGGGCACTTATGGATGGTGCCTGCAAACAGACATCTGATTTTGCCTGATTGAGGTGATGTGAATATCATCTGGAATTTTAGACTACTGAAAACTAATAGATAGAAGTACAATGTAATAACCAACCTTATTTTTTTGCTTGTGCTCCACCAGGAGTGTCTTTTGCCTCTAAATGTCAAACAGACACTAAAAGTTGGACTGGTATCAACTAAGAAGCTAGCCATGTGACACACATCATCACTAACATGTAATATGATATGCTAAACTGTACCTGCATTTTGATTGGTTCTTACTCAAGATCTATTCAAGGACAAACTCATAGATTATGTCACCCTTGAAAACATTTTGTTTTTTGATGATACAAAATAAATACACTCCATGTTGCCATAGGTCTGTAATAGATCACAGATGATATCAAAATGAAGTAAGGACATCAGTGACACACTCAGCTGCATCTCCTGTGCCACTTTTTTGATCTCATCACATTTTGACATCATCTGTGATCTGTAATTAAACAGGTGCACCACAACATGGAAATCTATTTGTTAATTCTAAAAACAATCCTAAAAAGTGTCTATTACATGTCTTGAGTAGCTCTTTATGTGAAAGTAGTAGGGATGATTATTAATGGTCTTAGAGGTGGAATTTTTGGAGATGCTTCAGACCAGGTGTGTTAAAAGGTAGGGAGGCTACATGAAAGCAACAGCTTTTCTTACAATAGAGGGCTCTCTCTTCCCTTTCACCTAAGATATTACAGATTAATTCCTTCCAAATGGACTCTTATCTTTTCCCTATAAAGTGATACTTACCTTCTTTATAGCTTTTGACCTTGAAATCCCGGGTAAGCCCTTATCATGTTTAAACTTCCTTCCCAAGATATCATGTTTTCGTCTATTTGTATGTATTTCAAAAGGATTGTTTGTGACTTCTTTTGTTTTTTTGTGACCCGATGTTCTCGCTAACTTTAAAGCTGCTTTCTTCGATTTCACCATGGTGTATTCCAGTAACTTATATGGAACTCTGAGGGTTTATGTAGCACTGATTAGCAGAGAAACTTTTCAAGCTTGTTTACACGTGTAGAACCGAATAGTGGCCATTTTGTTACATTATGTGTATGTCTATATCAACAAAACAACAACTTTATAGAAATCGCTGACCGGTGGGTTTTGCTTACTCAGTAACATTCGGGATGTTGCCGGGATCGACAGCGGGACTTGCGGGACGCCATCTATACCCAATAGACATTATCAGCCAAATTTGGGTTTCAGTTACAGGGGGTCATTATCTCGTAATGAAATACTACAAAAGATGACTATTCCTCAAGGTCTGCTCACAATAAAATTGAATATATAATGGTTTGCGAACCTTTTAAAATCTTTTCAAATATAGTTTTTTCCACCAATAAACAACAGTGTTTACATTACGTCACGCTTGGTTTCTCAGCAATGCTGCGGATCGAAAACCCTCGACCTTGTTGCAAAGAGGAACCTCTATAAGGCCCGAAACCTTGTAGATTGCGGAAAATAATCATTATATACTGAAAATTTCCTCGTGCAGCTTAGTTTTGCATGAAGCTGCCCGCCTTCGGCATTTGGGCTGAAGCGGGTCGCCACAGGTACTACCCAACATAGGCTGTTCACAAGGCTCTCTAATGGGCGCCATTCAATCAAATCGAAAACCTTCCTACGATGCGAGCGGCGATGGTAATATTCTTAGTTCTAATGACTTCTATTCCATTGGAAGTGTGAAACGCGTTCTTATAATTCCATATGTTTTTGTTACAGTCGATTTCGACCATTTCCAGATCCTGCGAGCAATTGGACGAGGTGCTTTTGGAAAGGTGAACCGCCGCAGCTTTAATTTTACTTTCATCCGATTTATTCCGTGTGTTCTTATTAAACATAGACATATGATTTTAATCGGTGTGGGTTATTTTTTTTTTCTTTTCCGCTTTCGAAGGTCTGCATCGTTCAGAAGAAGGACACAAAGGCGATGTATGCAATGAAATACATGAACAAAAATGCTTGCATTAAAAAGGATGCTGTTCGAAATGTGCTTCGCGAGTTGGAAATTCTGAAGTTCCTCGAGCATCCATTCCTTGTGAATCTATGGTTCGCTTTTCAAGATGAAGAAGACATGTTTATGGTGGTAGACCTTCTACTAGGAGGAGACATTCGCTACCACTTGCAACAAGTAACGAAATTTGATGAACCAAGAGTCAAGTTATATCTCTGCGAACTTGGTCTTGCCCTCGGCTACTTGAGAAGCAAGAAGGTTATTCACAGGTGACGAACAAATTATTACTGAATTCATACACTGGGTTTGATGTTTGCTTTTAATTTTAACCTTTTCACGAAGCCGTAAAATGAAGAAAAATATTATTTTCGTTTAGGGATTTAAAACCAGACAATCTGCTTCTTGACGAAAAAGGTTTGTGCTCGTTATAAGAATTTTTACAGTTCTGTGATTTAATTGCAATTGCACTAATGGTTATTTCTATTATGTTAGACTTTTTCGTAAGCCCAAAAGCGTTCCTCTTTCGATATATGCGAGAACATTTTTCGCTAATGGCCAGTGGAGCGTTGTTAGTTGTAAACAAATTACTTGTCTGATTGCGAATGCTATTTATCCATGAGAAGTTGTCGGTGAGGTCACAGAGATCATAAGGATTAGATACTCTCTACTTCACTTGTTACTCAGGACAACCAAAAATGGTTCAACTTAGTTTATTTGTTTTCCCTTAGGACATGTACATTTGACGGATTTTAATATAGCGACAATTCTAGAAGATGGAAAGTTGGCAACGTCCATGTCAGGAACCAAACCATACATGGGTTAGTAATAAATTTATTACGAATTATCGAAGTTGTAAACTGAAGTTTTTGACGGTTATGCCATGAAAGCTTCTATTAATTTACGATATTGTGTACCAAGTCAACCCATTGGCACTTGAAAAACTTAAATTTACATTACAGTACATTTACTTTAAACAACTTTTAAGTCAGGTGATCACTTGCCTCAATTTTAATATAAATTTAAAGGAGAAGTATGCACTAAAAACTATAAATGTTTTTCTCTCCCATCGAAAACTGTATATAATCTTACCTTCAAGCAAATTTGGAATTCTGAAGAGTGAACCTGCTACAGATTAGCTAAGAATTTGACTATACATGGGTAACCAGGCTTCTCATGCTAAACCATGACATGAAGTCCTTAACCCTTTTGCTCACAAGATCTCAGAAGTAATCCTCCTTGCTGTCTGCCATATAATCCTTGGTATTGGAAAATTACCAAATAATTTGTTATTGGATCAACTGATAATTCCTTTATTGATTTAAAAACAATAGCTTCCACTAAGCACGAAAATATGCACAGATATTTGTCCACAGGCTATATTTGTTCAAAAATGCATACAGTTTTCCAAGAGAAGCTCAAACAAAATGGTAAGCTTCAAGGAACTAGGACAAATATCTGCACATGTTTTTGAGTTAAATGAAGGCTTTTGTAGTTATTATCCTTCAAATACTTTTGCAACGCACAGGAAAGAGTGCTTACGAAAAGCCTACTATTTGCTGCATAGGATGTTTATCTTTCAGTGTTCTCTGGTACAACTTTATGAACAAACAAGCATGTCCCTTATTCTGTAACAATACTGCAATACTGTACTCTTTCATCTTGAATAAAATTTTAGAGGAATGCTGTCATTGTAGTATTAGTAAAATTTGAGAATTGGGAAATATCACAAGGGGTATATCCTGAGGCACATTCAATCACGTGATGTGTTCAGACCAATTGTACAAATTCAAGCAAAAAGATATGATGGATTATAATTTTTTTTATTCTTATCTCCTATTTGATTGATATTGTAAATATTTTAAAAGGAGAAATTCTGTCTTGTTCACTCATAAGAGATTATTCCATGGGAAGTATGCTTAAACGATTCTTCTCCACAACTTGCTATGCATCAAAAAAATGAACAAGTGAGTGCAGTGAACAAGTGTGTTTTTTGATGCATGGCAACAAGTGAATAAAAATCGTTCAAGCATTGTCCACAGTGTGATATCTATGCGTTTGGCCATCCCACTTAGTTGATAAATACATAGTATACTTATACTATTGTTTTTTCTATCATCTTTACTTACCATCTACCCTGTGAAAATTTGTTTCTTCACATCATGAAGGATGTTTGTTTTTAAAGTCACGTTAATGTTTTTGTAATTTTTGTCAATGTATACCCAATATATTAATTTTATAAATATATATTGAAGCAAAGTACTTCTATATTATTAATTTGGTATTTATCTTTGTAATTCAGCTCCTGAAATATTTAACACAGCTAGTGAGGAGACTCAAGGATATTCCTTTGGTGTTGACTGGTGGAGTTTAGGAGTTTGTATCTATGAAATATTAAGAGCAAAGGTAAGGGCCTTAGAATCTGATATTACTACTAGACTAAGTGCAACAACCCTTACCCTGATACTTAACAGTGATTTTAAGTTAGGAAAGGATCATTTTGTTATAACTCACCCCAAATCCCCAAAAAGTTGTTCTGTAATCTAATCTAGATGGTAAACTAGAATTTATATTATAATTAAGCCCGGGCCCTGGTTATTCAAAGGTTGGCTAAGTTGCTATTTACTAGATACCGTATTTATTCGCCTATAAGCCGATCTCGGCTATAAGCCGAGACCCTAAACTTTTTCATGTCAGCAGCTGTTGCATTGAAATAAAAAATAAACACAAAACATTCGGCTATAAGCCGAGACCTAATAATTGCAAAGTACTCCACACGTGTCGTTAACTGAGATGAATTAACATAAACCGAAAACAAAAGGAGCTTCCCTTGAAACATGCAACCAAAAAGTAGGTTATGAATAAACATATTCATTAAGTCCAATTTACTCAGTTGTTATTGGTCATTTAATTGAAAGTAACAACAAATCACAGATAAGTTGAATTTAATGTAAATAAATAGAACCATGCGTGACATAACAAAACATTCACCTGAGTTCAGAATCCTGTCTCAAACAATCGCTCTCTTTCAAAGTTATCGCAATCGATCATCATGCCAAAAGTTCGTCGTTCTTCATACAACTTAGCGTTCAAACTAAAAGTCGTTGCTGAAGCAGAGGCCGTCGAGAACAACTCCGAGATTGCTAGAGATTATGGAATCAGTGAATCGATGGTGCGTCGCTGGCGAAAAGATCAAGCGAACCTGTTTAATGGTGAGCTTAAAATGTCAGCAAAACGAAAGACGATGGGCTGCTTTTCGCCAAAGTATCCTGAATTGGATCAAACACTACGAGATGGTGAGAAGATCGTTCAAAACGTGCGGGATCTCAAACGCTCTCGATGGAACAGAAGACGACGCCATCTACGACGACGAAATGCCTGAGGTAGCTGATGATGACATGGAAGATGAGTTTGAGACTGACAGCGAAGAAGACGACGATGACTAAAAACTTCAATGTCACAAACTTCAACTTCACAAACAAAACGGCTCCTTTAGGAGCCACCACAATGACCAACAATGATTTACATGTACCTACCTTTCGTGATTGCGGAAATTTGTGTTTGTTGATAATCGCTCGGCTTATAGTCGAATAAACATTGAATTTCGAATCTTGTTAAGCACCCATAAATTTTTTTTGGCGAAAATACTCGGCTATAAGCCGAACCCCCTACCTTGGCAAGAATTTACCTGTTCTCAGTTTAATTTGTTGGAAAAATCGCTCGGCTTAGAGGCGAATAAATACGGTAGATCCTTGTCTGGTGAATTGTGCACTACATTTTGTTGTATTACTTATTAACTGGATATTTAATTATCCAAGGGAATCATGGCATTATCAGTCCTCTGTACAATTGGGCCAAGTTGTATTCCTAAAACTTTTAAGTCTTCTTACAAAATTCTATTGTGACTAATTCATGTTGAAAATTTTGGTAGTTTAACTGCTGCAATGACAATGACTATGAAAAACATATAGCACCAACCATTAACACTTCCTTTTAGAGAAGATAAGATGATTTCCTTTTATTTATTAACTCTTCATTTACAGCGACCATATGAAATTCATGCCAACACAAGTCTGTCGGAAGT